ACAAACAAACAAACAAACAAACCTAGTTAGAAATATACAAAAACAGTGATACTCCGCTTAGAATTCCAGAAAAGAACCGGTTCTGACTACTAACAGAATTTCACCTCAATTTATATATAAAATACAGTGTGAATCTCCGTTCACAACTTACATATGAAACAAGCATGGAAGTTCTATCATGCTACAAATCTTAAGAATATCATGAAAGTTCACATTTGCATTTCTCTATCAAAGGCGAAATAACTATTACGCCAGCTACGCTTTGAGATAATACTTGGACTTGAAATGGGCTCTCGATCAGTAAAAGGTATTTTTAACACTTCATTTTAAAACCTTTCATTTTAACGTTAACTATATATATATGTCAGACATTAGTAACTGTTGTTTATAAATTATCAAAAGAATGTAACCATACTATCACTGAATCGATATCATTGATCTCTTTTGTTATACAATACACTTTTTTTTACCAATTTATGTTGATATAACATTAAGTGGGTAATAACTTGATCAAATTACAAGCCCCCCCCCCCCCGTGGCACAGCGGTATGTCTGCAGACTTATAACGCTCAAAATTAGGGATGCTAGAACAGATAGCGATTGTGTAGCGTGTAAAAGTAGCCGAAAACGAATTGAGAAGCGTAAACTTCATCGTGATGCAGAGTGTCCCTATGAAAACTAGATCGATTTACCCTTACAAACCATGTTTCGGTCTAATTTGTTTATTAGATCACTATGTATTTAAAAAGGAAAGTGCTTCAAAAAATGCCAGTGCTACTTCTACTTACCAGCATGATGTTTTAGTCAAAGAGCAGACATTTTTTCTCAATGAACTGCGCCGTGAGGTGACCCGATAATACCGATTTTAGTTCAGTGGCCCCAAAAAGAAACGGCTCCTGAAAATGTCTATATCAGGCAAATTTCAACTGTGAAGTCCCATTTTTTTCCTCTTTTTGTTTTTTAGTATGCATCCTATAATTCCACCATTATACCTTATTGACTTAATTACGTGTTTTTGTTTATTTCTTTTTCAGTATAAGCTTCGCAAGACATTAAAAGAAATGCTAGGGTAAGTTTCTGATTTAGAGTTTAGTCCTTCCCTTCGTTCCTTTTTGATATAATGTTCTTCTTTTGGATGACGAATGTGTCTGATTAACGTACACGGAGGCTTAACGATCATAAGTTTGACTAATTGCTTTGTTTTAATTCATGTGATTTTTGACTACCATAAGCTGGCTAAGTACAGATAGTGCTACCACACGATCTTTGGTGAAGAATACCAACGAACAATTAAAACGTGGACCACACGTGCACCATTCTTAACTCACTTTACTCTTAATTTTCAAACTAGTTTAGTCAGATGTCTAACTCAGAAGATTGTACAAAAACAACAGTAGGATATTCTAGCTTTAGGTGTTCCACTGCACAGTTGGATTTGATTAGAGGTTATTCGTATAAAAATATCATGTTTTTAAAAAATAGATTGGACGTAAATACCCTCTAATTGAATCTTTTCAAACTCTTTAACAATATAAACATAAGTGACTTATACAAACAAGTGTTTTTTTGTTGCTCCACAAATCAATTAATGCACCTTCTTTACGACGACGTTAATATATGCATAAAAATAACAAATGACTTGACCTTGCACATATAGAAAATAAATTTATATATCGACCGAAACACTTACTTTACCTGCTCTATAGTTTCTTTATGTAATTGCTTTATTGAGTTTATTTATAGTGTACTTGTCTACACTCTAATTCGATTTAAGTTTAGCTTATATTTATATCCATCCATCCACCTATAAATATACATATATTTATATATCTTTAGAGTTAATGTTACTTCGACCTTCCCGACCGTGTATAGGTTCAACACATGTATTACACTTGGAGTGGTACATGTTTGTAGGTTGAGTTCATCAAGCCACGTTATTCGACAAATGTACACTAATAGGAGGTGGAGCAAACTTTTTACATCCAATATGAAATACGCTGTTACTGTTACGTAGAGTGAGAGCTGGTAGATGAGGTGGATAGATTGGAAGGGGAAGACGCTTTTGAAGTATTAGGAAACATGTTTTTCGAGTAAGTTCTATCATTTATAGTAGAGAAGGTATAATAGTTCAAATATAATCTAAAGGTATCATAGTTCAAATATGTGGGACAATATGCGGGCCCGAGGAGTCAAACTGACAGCCCTTTACCCGCACTTCGAATGTAGTAATTATTTATAGATGTAATAAAAAAGTAGGGCAGCCTTCCGGCAGTATCTGAAAAGGAGGGGGGATGTAACTTGCATGTTAGTTTATCAACCTGTTTTCTCTCACTACCTTCACTTAGTGTAGCTTGAATTTCCCAAAGAGAACGCAAGCTGTTCGGATAGCGGATTTCTTTCCGAGACCCGCAACACCGTGTTTTGTCTGTGCGAGAAAGGGCTTTAAAAATGTCTATAATGAAGATAAATTATTTGTGTTATATATTGGTTATAAACTGATTTCAAATTATTTAAAATACATTCTTTCACCCCCTGCTTTAGGGACCCAAAATGTAGATGAAGTGATCACAAGCACTACCATTGATTATGATCATTCACGACAGTCATGGGCCAGCTGGCCCCGAAGAATTGGATGATGGGTTTCATGTGCGGTACTTGGGAAGTGTTCTCTTTCCTACCAGAAAAAAGAAAGTGAACATGCAAACTATACAGAGACCACTACTGGACTTGTACACTAAGTCCAGAAGAAGAGGTGAAGACCATCGTACTGTCCATCCCTTAGCTTTGACTCAGTACCTTTTGTTATCAGATTACGGACTGGTAGTGGCTGAAAACGAAGATAATCGAGAAACAGGAACCCGTGAAGCAGTGGTCAGAAAGGTAATCACTCCGGTGTCAGGAATGATTCTTTGGGCTGCAGTACGTTTTCACACTAGAATATTGAAAAGACGAATGTTCGGTGCTGCCTTCGTTCCTTTAGCCTGCTCAGATGCAGTTGTTGACAAAGGCAACTGTGTCCCACTCACAGCGAAACACCGGTTTCTGGTAAGTTTAACTCATCCATCTCTTTTTGCTTGTTTTCTTCATTGTGTGGGGTCTTCAAAGTCTGTGGAGTGTCATGCTTTTGTTTGTGCCAATGCTGAGGATGCCATGATCATATGCTCTTCGCTAGACAGTATTAAACAAACATATGAAAGAATTGGTTCGCTGGAGCTCCTTTTTATAGAAAGAAGCAGCAGTCGAACATCAGATGTTTCTGGAAGATTTTTCAATAATAACAATGTACTCATGCCCGAAATGGAGACGTATTCGATCATTACTCATACAAGTGAAAACAGCAATAGACAGATAACTCGCCAACCTCATCAAAGCATCGCCACAAGATGGATGAATGTCAGAACTAGTGGGCCGGGGTTTGAAACTTGTTATGAAAATGGAATGAAAGAGATTCCTTCATCCCCTGATTCAAACAAAAAATATACCCGAAATAGTCATGGAATTGAAAAAGGGAAATTGCAAAAACTCACTCCTATGTCTCCTCATCATCGAAGGAAAAATGAGGAAGTCTACAATAGGAGTAGGTCTTGTGAAAGGCTAGTAGAGAAAATAAATGGATCAGATATTGATCAACATAGAAGTAAATCTTGTAGTAGGTTGGCTGATGTTCATTCTTCACCAGAGTATAAAAACAGAAGTTATCCTGCTAATTTGAACAGGAACTCTTCATCTTCTTCTTTTGAAAACCAAAGAAGAAGCCATGAGGAAAGATACGTGAAAGCATCTCCCGAAGAGCGCACAAATCCATCTCGCATTATCAGAAAACAAGTATTGCAAAACCGCAGTAAATCTATGGAGAAAATGAACCATAATGATGGTCACTCTTCCTCTGAAAATGATAGAAATGTAGCTAAAGTTAATCGTTGTCGTTCAGCGGAAAGAATAGAAAATAAATTGTCATTATCCCCACTCTTGTCTCAAGGAAATGCTACCAAAAACCCAAATCAGTCGATGGGAAACGCTTTTAATTTGAACCCTTCTTTACTAGGTTATGAGAAGAAAGCTACCCTTGTTCGCAACTCTAAACAGGAACAATTTGAGCATCAAAGCAATGAATTTCGACACAATCAAAACAATAGTTCTAATCGAACAAACACAGCGAAAACTGAAAACTTAAAAGAGTCTTTACTACCGGAACATGAACGAGAACACATTTGGAAAGTTATACAGAAGCACAGTAATGTTCATAACACAACACCTCAGTTATATCAGTCAAAGTCTGTTGAGCCTTGTTCCACTACAGAAGGTACTGTACGAATTATTCCAATCAGAATCGCAGAACAAGATCGACCGGTCTGTGTATTAAATGACAGTAATCAGAAAGATTCAGTTACAATCACACAAACAATAAATATGGAATGCGAAAGTGATTCTCAGTACTCGTCTGACAGTACACGAAAGAAAAACGTTGAATACAGTATTAAAAACCATGAAGTTGAAAGCGATATCGATTCCAGACTGGAGAGATTTACTAGTAGTGAAAGTAGTGTTTATTACACTAATTCCTTAAACAAGAAAAAACAGTCCAAAAACTTTCATAAATCTGGTGAATCTACCTTGCAGCTGCCAAAACAGTATTTCACAGTTCAATGTGTTTCCGAAAATGTAAATGAATATGATCCAAGAACTCACGTAAACAAACATCTTTTACTGAAAATCCAACAAAAACTAATCGAAAAGAAGAAATGGAACTTTTTGAGACAATGGATTTTAGTAGCGAGAGCGAGTATTCTGGCGTGAGCAATAAAAGCGACGAAAGGCATTATGTGAACGAAATCCGTCTGAAAGATAATTTAAACGAGGACGTAGACGAATATAAAACAGATCTAAATTGTAAGCGCAGAAAATATCAAAATATAAGTAAGGAACTTAAGACTCATGCTGATGTTCATTATTTAGAAAGTCCTCTGACCATAAGCCATGATGTTCTTAGAAGAAATAAAGGTCAAATTGGTGTAGATGCTAATATTTTAGAACTAGAAAACAAAAATCAGTCTGATATAAAGAATAATGGGACTACAAAAATTATTCTTAAAGTCCCTTATGAAACAACAGCTTCGACAGAGCCATCTGGCTTGCTATCAAATGGAAATACCCATTTCTTGCCACACGGCGTTCGTACTTATAATAGAGTCAATAACGTGAAAAATTGGTCTACACTCAGTCAAACTTCCGATTCTACGTGTCAGGGCTCAGATATTTATAAAGGAGTGGCAACATTACCAATGACTAAAATGTCCAGCCATCATCACAAAGCCATTCGTTTTTCATCAGATGACCATCTTGAGAGAAGACCAAGTTTTCTCACTAGTTTGAAGAGATTTAGTCTGAAATCCTTTAATCGTGCCAAGAGGAAATTAATAACTATTAGATGTAAATTGAGAGGTCAGTTCAGAGGCAAAAAGGACTCAGATTTTTCCGAGGACTCCGCTTATGACACATCAGAAGTATGTCTCAGTCCTCACGGAAATCAGATTGTCAAAATTAGGAAAAAGAAGAAGAGGCGACTGTCCTGGAGTTTTCACGACCTGAGGTCCAACTTGCCGTCGAAGAATTCTTCAAAACAACGACATGGAAGTAGAAGTGGAGGATCAGCCCTCAGTGGTTCCTCCATTGTTGAAGTAACTCAGAAAGACAAGAGAAAGAAGATAAAACGCCGAAGACAACGACGCAGTAATAGAGGAAGAGGCTCATCTGACTCTGGTGTGGAGGAATATTATTCAGATTATTCCGGACTCAACAACAATAGCAGTAAAAATTCGAATATGGAATTGGTTCAGATGAGTACGTCAGCAACGCTTGTCACTGTGAAACACGGAATGAGCGAAAAGAAGTTTCGACATTGGTCTCAAACCAACCTTCAAGATGAATTAGGGTACATGCCATAAAAAGATTATAACCAAGTGAGTGCACGTGTTTTGGAAAACTAAGAAATATTAGATTTCTAGAAATGTGCCAGTCTGTGTTAAGAGTCCAGTAAAAACAAATTTATAAACATTCAAACGCCTTTTAAGCTTTGTACCCATAAACATTCATAAAAAAATAATTTTCTTACAGTTCATGCAAAACAAATACCTAATTTGTGAATAAGAGGACATGGTGATTGTATGTGTATCTGAGTAAATCATACAGACTCCTATTTGTAGGTTTTTTTCAGGGTTTTATTCTCTAATTACTTTAAACAACACTGAATTTACTTATTTTGTAAAAATCACTTTCGATATATGCATTCATTCTTATGACTTTATAAATGAGCTGAACAAACTTTCTATTATAAACAGTATTTCTTAGGTTTCAAACAAGGTATTTTTGTATTTACACCACATGTGGATTAAAAAAGTATTATTTTAAATTTCCCATTCATCATGATACCGACATGGTCGTGTGTAAACATACTGATATAAACTAAGTGTTTATAGCAATTGGAAATATGTTGTTGTTATATTTGATATCTTACGGCGTTCATAGGCATTTCGTATAACAGATAGTATCAAAACAAGTGAAATAATTTTTTGTTGATTTACGAATAGAGTGCTCTTCAACCGAATTAATTAATACTCTATCTCGCTCTTAATATATTTCATGTTTTAATGAATACTGTTATTAATAAAATATTCGTCAAGGTATATTTCGAATCATGTGCTTTATTTTATTTGGTTACATATAATTTAAAAAATGTAATGATTCAATTGGAAATCAAAAGGGTAACAGGAAACAAACGAACGAAAAGATACATTGCATTAAATAAATAAACTCAAATGTAGTGCCGGTTTAATGGAAGGGCTAACCAAGTCTTGGGGACCCACTGACCACGAAGAATGTTGTGAAACACATATAATTATATTGATGGGCCCCTTAAAATACACTAGTTCTTGGATCACCAGTAGGCTTAACGTGGCTCTTCTTATATGGGTAATATATTTAGTTTTAATATAAATAGATATATTCTAAAATGTTTAGCTTTTGAGTGATTTTTTTCGTTTATTTTAGGGCGTGTTCAATAAAACAAGGATGTTTAAACTAAAGAAACATTAATTTTGAAATATCGATAAGAGTAAATGGAAACATGATACTCATGCACTGATTTAAACATATTTTATATTAAGTTTAGTTGCTGCGTTTTATAACTCAAATAAATCTTTTGTTTTTGTAAAATTACCACTCAGCGAGTAAAATCCCTAAATGCTAATTATAAAATGGCTGTTATTTCTGTATTTTTTATACAAGTACAAAATATTGTTGATCAATAAAAAAAAAATAGAAAAAGTCAGATTAAATTAAAATTTTATATAATAAAGATGGTCAAAGAAATAGATGAGGTTTTTTGTTGTTGTTTTTTTCATAGCAGTGATCCTAAACAAAACCTTCGCTTAATTAAGGTTTAGCTGAAAAGAGCTGAATGTGGCTGACACTTGTATGGAGATTTGAAATGAATGTATATAGTGTGACAAAGTGTATCTAATAATTAGGCCAGTAGGCTATTGCAACACATATAGTTTGTTCGTAGTAATGTTTGGCACGCCATAGTATTTCTTACCATATAAACTATAAGTTTATTCTTGTCAAATGAAATCAGAAGTGAGCATCAACTTTTGTAAAACGACTTAATTATTGCTCGTTAAACATTAAACCTAACATAAAATATGTATTGAAGATAATTCGCTCAAGGACAGCTATGTCAAGGGATAACGAAAGAGAGAGCACGTTTTTGTTTCATTGTAATAATTCTCGTTCTTACTAGTACAAATGTTAGCTAATTACCTCCGACCAAGGGGCGTGAAAAGTAAAAGATAATGAAGTAGTCGTGCTACTTTCATTGCATTTTATATAGAATTACAACATATTCAAAATTAGTGGGTGTGAAGAGTAACATACGGCCCGAAGCAGTGGTTTATACAATAATGATATTTCAATTAATAAACACCTAAATTAAGTTTCTTTGTATTGGCAGAACTAGTTTTTAAGAGTGAATAAACATATTTGGGTCAAATACTAATAAAATACAAAAGAAGCAAACATCTTTTAAATTTAGTTAAATTTCGCAGTTGATTTAAAACTACATTTTGAAATATTAAATTTGCATTAAATTTTTATCTTTAAATTAAGAACAAAAATGTATACAGTCACATTAATAGTTGTTTAATTTTATATTATGTTGGTTTTTATAGTGTCTGTCCTCATTCAAAAAGTAAAAACTTAAATTATTGTTATAATAGTGTCTGTTATGGGAGGATTCTTTTGGCTTGTTTGGTGAAAAGAATAACTGAATGTCCACTCCACATAACGATAGCAAAAACGTTTTATTTCTTCACGTTCCTCGGCTAGCATAACCAACGTTCATCGATAAGCCTAGATTTACAAATAAATTACGTCTAACAGAAAATTTAATTTTTATACTGATTTCGATCTCTATTTGTTTGTTGAATCACGAACTCAGTATTCATAGCAGTGAACTAACCAGTTGTTTAAGTGGCTGACAGTAACATTAAAACGAAAAAAGTCACTCAGTCAATGACTTCTTCTTAAAAGACTTAATACTTAATTTAACTCGCTTTTCATATACAGTACAGATTGTTTCCTATACGTTCAAGAAGGTTCTAGTAATAACAAAAGCCAACACATAGTGTGTGAAGCACAATCGGCATGAAATGCATGCTAATACTACGAGGGTCTGGGGCATACCTACCTTAGAAATTTTATAAAAGATAGGTGCTTTTGATTAAATCTGGAAGCAATTTTGCGTGAAATATAGCTTTGTCTATTGCGTGGCTATTTACATGAAATCCACAAACATCCAATGAAAAGTTAAGAAATCATCATTCTGTTGTAACATTACATAGGGAGCTAGACTTAAATTAATATAAATATGTATGTTATATTATAGTAAAGTAATGTACTATCTACTTACAGAGTAGTTATTAATTGTTAAATTATATTACTAGTTTAAACAACTCTGTACAACAATATTATATTAACTATTTCAATCATTGGCTATCATATACGTACAGGTATGTACTACTGAGATAAATGTTACATGCTCCATTCTCCTGGGTGCTTTTCCATAAATAACTTACATACAGTTTCATTGTTGATAACAGTATCCGTATGATTATGTATTAAAGCTAGAGCACTCAGTCTTTCTTCGGTTCGTATACAACTCAGGTAATTATTCAACCGGCGGAGAGCAGATGCTGAACATTCACATGAACTTGAGCATAGTGGCAATGTGGCAAAGAATTTCAGTGACATAAAGATATTTGACACACTGAAGCACGCTGTTAAGCAGTCAGCCAGTATCTTAGGCCTGTCCTGGAGAGGTATAAAAAGCCATCTTATCTTCCATCGATGAAGTTCTTCATCAAAAATATCAGGATTTGACAAATTTTCCTTGTTAAAATCTATAGCCTGTCTAATATCAAAGATAGAAAACTCTTGCGTGAGTTTTGAGGTCCTAAGTTTCTGGATTGATTCTGCTTGCTTTACATGTGCGTCAAATCTGGAGGAAGGATTATTGATAATGTGGTCAAGAAAAGGAATTATTGCGATTTTCTGAAAGTAATCCTCCCCGAAACTATATTCTGCATTTGCACGTTGGGCTTTTCGTTGACTAACTCGTGACATGCTAACATTAATATTAGATTTGTTTGCAATATTACTGCTGTGCTTGAAGGTATGACGTGAATAATCATCTACGTTCACTGTTAGTGAAGTCAGTTCTTTATAGCATTATCCTATTTGGGAAAAAAACCCAGAAACAACGTTTTGGCTTGGAC